CGGCGGAACATTTTTTTTACGGAAACTGCCGCACGGTCCCCTCGTTCCTTGGAAGAGGCGGAGAGTGGGTGTTTTTCATCTGCTGGCGGACTACCTGAGAGATACAGCAGGAGAACACGCCGTCCAACGCGGAGAATAAAACAGAAGGGCAACCATGCTCTGGGGTCTTCTTCGCTGCTTTTGGTGTATTTCGGGCAGCAGCAGCACCACTTACAGGCCTGACATATGTACTACATCGTTTCCAGCATTTCCAGCGGTCTAGTGTGAACGGACACGTTAATGAATCGAATAAGTGTGAACGGAAGCCTTTTTTGCGCTTGCGTATGCGTTTTACCGTGTGGGGCCGGGGTCTAAGCCAAACTATATCCGGTCACAGAGATCTGCTATTTTAAAGTAAAGTCAACACATATAGACCCTAAATATAGTCTATATTAAGAACGAGAAAAGTCTTAACATATATATCCTTTTTTGTAAACATATGACAAATGTGTGAGGGTGATGACGTCAGAGCATCGTCTTATGTGCCAGGGCTAGCCCCGGACAGCCCCAGCCCAATTTAACCCCTGGGTATTTGTGAGGAAGCTCCTATATGGCATTACCCCGCTGAAGCTCACCAAAGTTTAACATATTTCATAGTTCAAAGTTTTGTCAATTGTTTTGTTTATTGGTCAAATACTGGTTTCTAATGTTTTCTGAGGAGTTTTACCGGAATGAAAGAGCACAGAGTCTACAGAAGCAAAAAAGCAGCATACTGCATTAAACCTGACCTTCACAGAGAGGTTGAAGTTCATGTGGAAAGGAGGCTTCAGTAGTCTGTCTGCACTCTGTTTAGTTTTGCTATCTTACAATCAATATAGTAAATGTGAGGTAAAGTGTGTTGCCAATGTAACCGGTTAGAACTCAAAGTTGCGATGAGGTCTTAAAATGTATGGAAAGGGTCTTAAAAAAGGTCTTAAAAGGTATTAAATTTGACTTCAGGATTCCTGCATATACCCTGAACATCAACAGACATATATCGAGACACAACACATGAACAACACACAACAAACATTTAACATAACAATCACTGAGAGAAAACATGAAAGTGTTCTCAAAGCTGGTAAAGGTGCAGCTAGTTTGAATGACTTTGTATACTGCAGGGTAGCTTGTCTGATAGCTAAAGATTTGAAAAGTAACTAAAGGTATTAAATAAATGTAGTGGCGTAACAGTACATAATTTACCTCTGAATTTGTGGTGAAGTAGAAGTACAAAGTTCTTTGAAAATTGAAAATACTCAATTAAAGTACAAGTATCACATAATTGAACTTTCGTACATTACTCGACTAAATGTACTTAGTTACTTTACACCACTGCAGATCCTCTGTTGAAAGAATGAACTAAAAGTATCATAGTTCTGATGACTGATAATAACGTCATCAATCATTTTTGCACAGAGGCAGTAATATCTGTTTTGTCATTGTATGCTTTCATATCAGTCACTGCCTTTCGTTAAAGTCTTATACAATCATATCATCTATTGTCATGTAGATGTGTGGTTATCACAGGCACAGCTAGAGATGGACCATTGCACATGTGCCAGCCCATGTTATAAATTCCCCTTGTATGCCAGGGAAACCAAAAACTCTTTTTTATAAAACATGATGAACTACCTTTCAGGTCTTCATCACACTACATTTGAATGACTCCATATTCCTAAAATCATCAACTTAAAAACTGAACATTTAACATTCAATGGCGACTTACTAATTGTCCCTCCATGTTTGTATGATAATAAAACATGGTACATCTATTACCGTGTCTTCTTTATAAAGCAGGTCACCGTTTAAATAAATAGTAAGTTATTTATCTTAAAAAAACAAATGGGTATATGATGAAATGTTTCAAACTTTAAACAGGCGGACCTTTAACTAAATGCTTAGTTGGGGAGTTTCACTCAAAATAATATCCCATAAGAATTCCATAGTAATACCAGTTATGGATGTATGATGAAGACGAGCCACGGCGTACACTCACAGTGGTGGTGATAATGCTTCCCTCACACGTGTCTCTCCTAAAGTGGAAGGATAGCTTTGGCTCGGTTCCCCCATTACCATAAACACACACTCTGGTTTATTTATACAACACACACCCTCTTGCAGCCACAAATACTCACAAGAGCACTTCATGTGGATGAGTCCGCCGCTGAAAATAGTCCCGACACACGCACTTCTGTTAGCTTGATAAAAACTACAGTGACCAGCTGCAAGTAACTCATGAAACTATATATTTGTGTTTTTAAATCTGCAGTATGAACCCTCACACTGAGGGACAGGAGACGGACTCACAGACAGTTGGTTGATAATTGTCAGTTTTTTTTGGCAAGCACAGGGCTGGGCGGAATGAAGAAATAGTATACCAAAACTAAATGTCAATATTCATGTGGTGACAATATTATAGGGTTGACCATTGGTTCTTTAACAATATATTAACACAATACGTTAATACAAAATAAATAAATAAACATAACTTATGTGGATTAGTGCAGTGACTACAGCAAAAAAAGAGGGCAGTAAGAAAAGTATTTTTGCAAATTAAATCAAATCCCTGCAATGCAGCTTTTAAAAATAGGAAGAAAATACGGTTATGATATTACTATGTCGAAAATCAATATTGATATATTGTATTTACAGGGTTCTTACTAGGGCTGTAACCGAATATTCGTTCGTTGGAGTACTATTCGGGTTTCAATTTCGTTATTTGTTTTCCCCCCGTTTTCCCCCCAAATTGAAATCTCCAATATCGACGTAAGAGCTTGTGCCTCTTCGGGGGGTGCTAACACTTAACCATAAACGTTATAGTTTACTTTTTGCGTCTTTATATGTAGATATGACTTTTCTCCGTTAATCTCCGTCACGTTGTTCCCATAGCATCAACAACTTCCTGTCAACAGCGCTACCTCTCCTTCAAAATAAAAGCATGTCCATAAATAGGAAGCCAAGCCAAATTACACTTAAGACATATACAACTGCAACGAAAGTAACACACACAATGCGATATCCTTTTCAATTTCAAAGAACACAAATTGGGTTAATAACTATAAAACAACAATACTGTAGAATAATTCTACAGTATTGTTGTTTTATAGTTATTAACCCAATTTGTGTTCTTTGAAATTGAAAAGGATATCGCATTGTGTGTGTTACTTTCGTTGCAGTTGTANTTGGGTTCAACATGTGAGAAGTAGAAAGTACAGGTCCCCTGCGTTCATTTTGTAAGAAATAGCACATGTCACCATGTGAGAATAGGGGTGCAACAACTAATCGACTTAATCGATTAAAATCGATTACCAAATTAGTTGGCAACTAAGTCGTCGATTCGTTGGTGACGTCATCACATGTGTTCTACACCCTGTTAAACTCCAAAGTTATCGCTCTTTTTTATGGGTACAGGAGACATTTAAAACATATGTCATATGTATTATTGCTACATAAACATTATATCGCAGTCTTAGTGTCGCCAACTCCGTTTCTAATATGCAATATGACTACAAAATGCGTCTATAATGTATTTTCGATCTTCCCAATTCAGACGAGAGATCTCTCCCCCGCCTGCTTGCGAGGGGGCGGGGCAGTCTACACACACACGCAGGAGATGGCGGAGAGAACGCGCTCCGACGTGTGGTTAAACTTTAGCCGTCTCGATGTGGACAATGCTCGTTACCAAAAGTGCAATAACAGTTTATCATATAAGGGCGGTAACACGAGCAATTTGTCTAAACATTTAGCAAAAGTGCACCACATTCAGACGGAGGAATGCACCAGGTTCGACTGTCTTTCTAGCAGCTCGGTAACCCCGTCCACGAGTAACGTTTCCACGTCAGGTGTTATGTATTCTAGCAGCAACACACAGAGTTAACTCAGTTATAAAAACATAGGTTAATGATTAGAGGTATCTGAGTTATTTTGTTAAAGTTTCAGCTATTCTGTTTACAGTTCTGTCGTCACATTATTTAATATGATTTGTTAAAACATTGTTGTTTCTTTTGATGTGAAATATTATGTATTTAATTAAAATAAAAAGCAATGTTAGTTTTGTTCACAATTTGTTTAGTTAGTTTACCTTATTTCTTGTCAAAAGAACCGTTAATACCATCGTTAAAAGGACCGGATCGATAAGCAGTGTCGATATAAGTAGTAGTACAGTTAAAACCTTAACGATCCGAATAATCGATTAATCGTTTCATTAATCGATAGATTAATCGATTATCAAATTAGTCGTTTGTTGCAGCCCTACTCCCCACACACAGTAAAACAAAAAGGTGGGGGCTTCGCGCACGCAGTTTTGCTCCAGAGTGAACATAGCTCTAGCTCTGACTTCTGAAAACCGAAAAGCAGGTTTATTGCTTATGGATTATCAGAAATCATTCAAAGTGACACAGACACATTGGATTAACTTCAGCATCGTTTTTATGCCATTGAAGACCACTTTTGACCAGACTACCACACAGGTGAGCCATTTTGCCATTTTTAGCTACCTAGCTCCATATGTTTTGATGTCTGTTCTTGTTATTATCTACAAGAGTTCGTATAATTGAGTGATAATGAAGGGTATGCCTCGATTCTGTGTCCCCTCACGATGTGAAACGATGGGTTGAGATGTGCAGCAAAGATAAATAATAAGGTTTTGTGAGTGAATTTCGGTGCAGTCATCTTTTAGCATTTTTTGCTTGTTTCTAATTCAGAGGCTCAGCGTTAGCATTGTGTTTTTGTTTTTTTTTATTAAAATGATCAGTTAGATGAGTTTCTTTCCATTACATGGATATAAAACATTCATAGTTTATTAAATAAACATGCCCTCAGACACTTTTCTGCAAGATGTTGCGGGAGGGCCCCGTAACCGGGGTCTCTCGGGCTTAACAGGTTAAGTGGGTATGACACATTAATAGGTTTTTAAATGTTATTTATCTATGGAGCTACTGAATATTATGGCTGCAGTCTTATTTTTTGTAAGTGTAATTTATAAAACTATACAGCAGTTGAAGTTTACCTTATCCTTGAAGTCGGTGTGGTTCTGGAGAATAGCCCGTTGGTAAGTCCCTGTCCGAACGTAGTCCTGCATCATATTCTGTTGCTGAGAGAGGTAGCCATAAAACTACAGAGACAAAAACATTAATGCATTTTTTATCTAAATAAATCAATATTGTGCAAGCAGCCTCAGGGAGGACAAACCAAAACATATCCTTACATTTCAATAAGTTGAAAAAAGTCACAATGTATTGCAATCAAAAGCCTAGGTTAACCCGGGTGTGGGACACAACATATCAGTGTTTATTGAATAAAGAATGCTAAGAGTGAGGCTTCATGGGACTGACATTAAATACACATTTCTTCCTTCACAGATCTTACTTCTATCCCTCAGAAGGGAAACCAGGACATGTTATTTACAGAGCAGATCCTGTTTCAGTTTTATTATGAGATATTTGCAAAGATATGTGTATAATATCTCAATATCGTGAGAAGTAAATAAATCCAAGTTTAGTGTAATCTTTTATTTGATTGAGATAAAAAGGAGTGGCGGGGTTAGACCTTGGCATTATGAGTAGCCCTACACGTCTAAAAACTGCTGTTATATGGAAAGGGATTTCAAAATATTGACACCGTACAGCCACAAGACAAATTGGTGATCTTTGTGATATTGGTCTACATCAATAAAAATGTATGCAGAGGTGGGAAAGGTACTCACATCTTGTATTTGAGTAAAAGTAGAACAAGAGAGTGGGAATACTCTGATTCAAATTAAAGTCATGCATTCAAAATGGTACTCAAGTAAGAAACTAAAGTATTAACATCATTGTGAATTTACTCCAGGTGTAACTAAAGTCTTATTTAAATGTTGATTATATTTCACATCATTAATGCAAATCTGTAAAGTAACTAAAGGTATTAACCAGTTGAGCCCGGAGCCTGTTTTCCAGGTCTCAGGCTCGAAAATGACATTCCCAGAACAAATTACCATAACTTCCCTTCTAAAAAGGGGTAAATTAATAGTAGTTTTTCTCAAAGCAATGATAAACCTGTGATTTGGATGTAGAAAAGTCAGAATCAATATAGATTTATTTTTATTTTAAAGTAAATTCAGATTGAACATAGTAAATAAAATGTAAATGATAGTGTCCGTCCAAAAAAAAAACATTACTTATAGTGAAAAGCACCCTTGAATGATGGGATGGTAGACTAAAAGCTTTAGGAATCCAAACTATAACATATAATAAGTACCCTGTATCAAGATTGATGCAAAACAAGTGACATTTGACCTTTTTAGAGAGGTTTAGAAAAAAGAACCCACCTCTGGGGTCATGTGGGTGCATTTTCCATATCTCTGGAACCCATCGGTTAATTTTGATGATTGACACCTCTTTTTAAACGTTCGAGCCAATAGAGTCGAGGGGAAGTTCCTAAAATCCATCTAAACATTACCCATTGATGCGTAGCCAGAATGCCCCGGAACCGGAAGCTACATACACAGAAGTCACCATTTACCTCTGAATTGAAGTGGAGTAAAAGTACAAAGTACCATAACATGGAAATACTCAAGTAAAGTAAATGTGTCTCAACATTTTACTCAATTACAGTACTTGAGTAAATGTACTTAGTTACTTCACAACTCTGAATTGTATTGACTTGTAAAGTCATTCAAACAGGTTCCAAAACCAACCTTTTAAAAATGAATGAATGCAATGAGCGTTGTGAAACTATAGATAGTCCCCTAAGAACAGAGTGAGTCCAGTGTCATGTCTGCAGTGTGATGTGTTCAGTGTCATGTCTGCAGTGTGATGTGTTCGATGTTTGAGAGCCGCTCACCTGGAAGTACTGTACAGCAGAGGAGTCCTCTGTTCTATCGCTGAAGACGGAGCGCTCATTGACGTGTCCGCGACTGTTCTTCAGCAGGTTATAAAAGGACTGGAAGTCTAAACACACAAACCATTACAATTCACACTACATTACACCATGAGAAAAGTTATGGTGAATGTTTGGAATTACGAATTGAACTACGCCAAACAGTTTGTACGCTCGTGTGTCAAAGACTGTTAAACACATCATGTGTTAACATATTTATATTGTGTGTAAATAGTGTCTTTATTTTTTATATGTTGCAACAGTCTTTAAAATGGTTTTATAATTTTACTATTTCAGCTCCTCTATTTTTAAAATAAACGTCTTTCTGTGTCTTTGTATGCATTGTTTACACAAAAGCTAATTCCTCATATGTGTAACCCTATGTGGTAATAAAACTGATTCTGGTGTGTTCATCGGGTTGCTCCCACCCAGGACACGTACATTAACATTACTGCACATCTAAAGCTCATTTATTCAACCAGTCCCTTCATGGGAAGTATGACTTTAGTTAATAGGGCTGCACAAGCAATGTGTATTTGATCTCGCTGCGGGGACATTCTACAGATGGCCAGTCCGCCCCTGAAAAATGTCTATGTACACATTATTATTAATAATAGTAATACAAATAACATTGTTTCCCATACATCGACATACAAACCCCACAGATCCTCAACTCCGGTGTGTCTCACTAATTAAGGCGAGATACGGCAGGCAAAAGCATTGTTTTTCATGCACTGGTCAATTTTGAGATGTTGTGCTATTTTGATTCCATAAGATGTTTTCTTTCAGGCTTTTGGAAGGAAAATGTACAAAATACACATTTAGGTGTTTATTTTACTATAGTTTGTCTATTTGCGTCTATAGGTTTTTTCCCTGGTTTACAGGTACATCCATGGTGATAAGATAAGACATTAATTTGGTGCCCTTACAAATAGAATCCAATTAGATGGGAAACACTGGATAATAATAATAAAAAAAAATTTGTAATCATCTCTTGACCCCCACTTTGGGAACCCCTGCTCTAAGAGGCGCTGGCTGTTTCAGCTCCCTTGCACGTTCCGTGTTGTCCTGTAGCAGGCACCGCCGATGTCGGGGAAACGATCTTCAATACTCCGAAAATAATCCCACCAGACTCCTTTGCCCCCCCCCAACAGAGGGATGTCCTTGTCCTTTTTCCTGTTCGTTATTTCAAGCGATAAAAACTCTCGATCTTCTTATTAATATTTTTGACGGCAAGACGCCCCCCTGGCGGAAACGCTGCTTCTGATATACCGGAGGCAGAATAGTGCTGAAAATGGCAGGAGCTAGATGGACATTTAAATGAAAGTATAAGGTGGAATATTTAATGAGAAGATTACACTTATTTAGGGTATTGCAATGAAGATCGCTGCTTTAATAATTAATTATTCCAATGTTGGGTAACAAGTTCTTCTAAACCGGAGCCCATGGAGTGGTGCAGGGATATGTACTAATCCAGGAAATGAGTCAGCCTTTTAGCACTTCTTGTTCCTAGTCTGGAAGTCAACTTTTTTTTAAAAAGTGTTTTTGGTTAGAAGCCTGAAATAATACAATAACACAAGCTGAGGACATTTTAAATGTTTTGTTCTGTAACATAATTTGTGCTTATGCATAGTTCCGTAATGTTGCTAGCATTAATCCTGAACCTTTGTACCATTGTTTTCTGATTATTTTGGTTGTTATATTTGGTTATTTCATTCAGTATTAAGAGCAAATATAAGAATAAGACCATACATAGAGAGGTGCAGGAACGAGTCCTAAACCTAGAAATGTGTTGGCATCTAAGCACTTCTGGGCTCTAACGTTGTAAATTAAATGTTTTTTTGACTAAATGATTGGTTAGCAGCCTAAAATAAGATCCGTGGTTGGTTAATACAAGGTTACGAGATGTTCATGTTTTGTTCTGCAACATTAAAAAAATCAGTAAACACCCCACTGGTGAACGTCTGAAGTTTCTATAGGCCATAAAAACAGCTACTGTTAACAGGTGACTAAATGAGACTAGAGACTACTAAAAGTCATCAAACTGACTGCTAGCCGCCGTTAGCTTAGCGATATTGACATGCAGTTGTGTGACCGCAATATCGCCTACACTTACTTTTGGTGATTGCATTTGTTCTTAAACTATTATTAAAGTGCTGTTTATATGTGGAGATTATCCTGCTGAACAAAACCTGTTAGTATCATAAACATGTGTTTGCCACATTCAAAAACCCAGAGGATAAATTCCATTGCTTTTTGTCGAGGGAGCCCTTGTGATGCTAACTTCCAAGTCAGCCTATAAAAAGACATCATCACTGCACCGCTCTATAGAGGCTCTTGTACATCTCTTAGCCTCGTTGTGCCGGCCGGCCGTGTGTGCGTGTGCGTGTGCGTGTACCTCCAGGTGAGGAGAACTGCAGCAGGACGCTGTTGCAGCCCAGTGTGATGATGAAAGACTGCTTCCCAACACGGCTGCACTCAGTCTCCCTGGAAACCGAACACTTGAACACACTCTCCTCTCCTGAAACAAAAAAGTTAGGACAACATGAGACATGTGTGCAACAAGGTTTCCAAACGTGTATCCCTCCACCTCAAAGCCTCTGGACTCTGTATTATCACAGGTGATAAATGTCTTACTCACCAACGTATCTTACAAGAATCTGAAGTGTATTTATTCATTTTATTATCATTTACTACCTAGATAGCACTACTCTGTGCTCTCATTTTGAGACTTGCAATCAGAGGAGATTTTAACATTAGATGCGCCTCTTTTTTACTTTGAATTTGGAAGAAGTGGCTGCAAACACTGAGTGCCAAAAAAGATGATTACATCCTCAAAAAGAAAAAACGCTGTACTTCTGTATTTGCATTCACACACGCATATTTTTTTGAACATGGGTCTCAATGAAAAAGAGATTTTGATCTTAATGTGACTACCTACCTATGAAGGATTTAATAAAACGATAAAGCTGCAGAAATTGCAATAAAACATTGGTTTGCTGAAAGCTGCACTTTTAAAATCCGGCTCTGGAGGTGACGTTTGGTCATAATAACGAGCACTGAGGACGAGCTGGAAGTGGATCTCTTACTGACACCTAACTCATGTGAAATGTGCATTTTCAGATGAACAAAATGTGCCTTGATGTTTTCTGCATTTTACAGGACAGCCACAGACTGTTTCTTCTTGCTGCAGGCACATGTTCGGCCTGACATTTCAATTTCAGATAGCACACAAGCTGCTCCTGTGTGGGAGAGCCTCTTCATCCCCTGCCTGCTTAGACTGTGGACCATTATCCACAAATGCTCAAAAATATGTTTACCTTTTTTTTAGATCTTGAAAAGTAACAGAGATACATTTTTACCTAATAGACTTTGATAGTATTTTTTATAGTATGTCCTGTGAAATAAAAATCTATTCCAGACGTACTGATGATATCAGTGTTCATTGTTACATGAAGATCCAAATCAATGTCTACGCAAGACGTTATAGACAAAAGTAAATACAGGGTTCATACACTTTTTCACCAGTGATTTTCAATGACTTCTCCATGACCTTTACCTAATCTTCCATGACCAAAGAAATGACTCTTTCTCAACGGTACCACTGAAAATGGTTTATTTTAACATGGAACAGGAAAATAAGGTCTGCATAATTAAACATGTTGTGC